TGTTACAGCACATTACTTGCTGGCAGAGAAATCAATCCTTAATTGGCTATTTCTGACAAAGATTCAAAGAAGATCTGAGCGGCCCGAGAACACTTGCGGAAATTGTCAGAGAAATATGAACTTGGCTGTTTTCCACATCAGCAAGTCATTGTATTTTTTTTCTGAGAAAGTGCAGAAGAGTTTGACAAAGAGGCAACCAGTTACCTGAAATAAAAGCTGGAAAATGTAGGTGGAGTTATATCAGAAATTCCCAAATATGTGTAAACTACCCCGTCAATACTTTAAAGCATCAAGAGAATTCAGATGCAGTTCTAGTGACATCATAATTGCATGACAAGGCTATGCTAGGTTATTTCAGGAAACAGAATTCAAAGAGTCCAATCTGAAAGTCACTTTTTTCCCCTTCCATTTCAGGATAAATTGATAATAGCTTGACACTTCAAGAGTTGACATGTAGAAAAACCCTGTCATATTAAATTTTTGATTAGTTAATGAAGAAAGCGAATGATGTTGTATTGTCTGTTGGCATGAATGGTGTGAATTATGTAGGTTATGAAAACATTCTGCTCAGAAATAATCCCAATGAATTGGTTCTTCATCTACGGCCTGTATAAACGAACTAAAATAAATCTCCTTATGTTGCTGTGAGATTTCCTATAATTGTCTTTCTTTTATAGTTTTAATAGGTACACTTGCATGTTACAAATGAACAAGGGATTCATGTTCCTCATTCATAATTTAATGCCTTTAATTTCCCATTGATATTTCTACCTGATATCTATAAATGCCCAATACAGCTTCACTGGACAGCTATTATGCCAAAATGTCAGCAAATATGTGAATATTGCATTTGTTACATTTAGTATTTTATTAGGAAAATCCAGATTCAAATAATGCTGCATTAGTAATGTATGATTTAAATAATGTTGCATTTATAGTAATTTATAATTATGAAATAGCTAAAAAACTTAGGTAAATATTTCATAAGAATCTATTTACGCCTCAATCTCTAATTTAATGAGTCTATGAACAATTCTAATTAATCCCCAAACTATTTCCTTTTTTTAACCACCCTGTCTACTTATAGAATCAAACCCTTTTACATGCATATTGAACTGGATGGAAGACATTCAGAAGTCCAAGGACTCAATCAGGTTAAAGTACATTTGAAAAATAGGAAGTTTGGTCGTCAACCTCACTTTGACAAATCAATGGATACAGTAGTTCAAGATAAAGGAAGTTCAACTGTAACAGTATATAATATGATATATGTCTCTGATTAATATTTTTTTTATTACAGTGTACTGAAATGAACTTTTAGCAGATTATCTGAAGAAAAAGTGAATATTTGTCATTATGCTGAATCATATCAGTGATTAAACCTACCGCATGTACACATGAAATGAGATCTGGAATTTGATAATGCAAGCAGCATGTAAATTTCTGAATTCAGGTCAAGTATAAACACACACTAATAGAGAAATTGTTCTGATATGGTTGGAAATGTTTAGACTTTGTTTGAGATATCTACAAAATTCAAATACTTACATTCTCAAAATAACCTTTACATCAAATAGCTCACACTTCAACATATCTTAATAAACATTTGATTTGTAGGGCTTCTGTACTTAACATTGCTTTTTTTTTTATATTACATTCTTGATAAGATATTTTAATAGTGAACCCATTAACTAGTAATAAGCCTGATTTACTTACAGTCAGCATTTTTTCTCTTCATATTTTTTGTCTTTATTCAAAAAAAGATGTTGATTTTTTTAACATTCTTACCATACATTCACTTTTTACAGGAAATTAAGGTTAATAGATAATTTTGCACTTATAAAGTACATTAATATTGTACTATCTCAAAATACCAGTGAATAGGAAAAAAATTGTGTAATATATATGTACACTTCATAAATAAAATGAGGTGACTGTAAACCAGTCTGCCCAAAAAAAACCAAACCTGTTCTAATTTTCTTTGGAGATTGGAATTCCCTTCCCTTCTTGATAACATGATACTCAAATTTCTAAAATCAAAATGTCACTGCAGTGCATGCATTCATGTATTTTTTCACATAAAACTATCTTATAGTGAAATTTTATGTTTAAACAACATATTTTTACCCTAATCTTACCAAAATATAAAACAAAATTCATATTCAACACATTATAAATATTAAATATCTAAAGCCCATCATTAAATGTGCTACTATCATGAAAACTACATGCCCTAGTCCATGATTTGCCACTAATTCTCCCAAATATTGAACAGAATTCATGTTCAACACATTAAAATTATTACAAATCTCTTAAGCCCATTTTTAAATGAGCTTCCATCAGGAAAACTACAAGCCGTATAGTCCACCATCTTCCTTAAATTAAAAATTTTGAAAAGTGATGTTGATGAGACTGCATGTATAAACCAAGGTCCCTTGATGCAGGACGTACTAGCATAAAAAGATTTCTCATTGTTTAAAGCCCCCCTGGGTGTAACTTCAATTTGACCTTGATCTTGCAAAAATGACCTTGAGTCAAGATCATGACACATCCTCAGGTCAAGAACAATCTGTGTGTGAAGTAGTAGAATCCAGTTTCTGCATAAGAAAGATATCGACTGGACACAAATTATGAGCTTTGTCAGTGACCTTGATCTTGCACAAATGACCTTGAGTCAAGGTCATGACACATTCTCAGGTCATTATCTTCATGTAAAATCACCAAGTTTATCCATAAGAAAGATATGGACTGGGCACGAATTATGAATTTTTTTTCCTTCAGCGACTAGCCAAAATAACCTTGAGTCAAGGTCTTGACACACCCTCTGGTCATGAACAATCTTTGTGAGAAATTTTTTTTCCTATGTAAGAAAGTGACAGACATGTTTGCAACAGACAGAAGGACAAGGTGAAATAACAAACTTGAGTAAAAACTGTTGATGCAGTTGCATAGCATACATCAGTAAGGATTAGCATATGAAGTTTGATTACACATCTTGAATTGTTTCCTTATAACTGAGCTTAACACTATTTTAAGACAAGAGGCCCACGGGCCTTATAGGTCACCTGAGTATTGTGTAAAAACTTTCAAACAATTAAATGTTAAACCGGAGGCCATGAAATTCACAATTTACAATTTTGAAAGAGGCACCATTGCTTATCATAATTATTAACTTAGCATGCTTACTCTATTTACTTAAGGTAGGATTCTTCTCACATTTCTTGTATTTAAAAATTAATGAAATTTTCACAGAATCAGGAGGACAATATCACTAAGTGATGGTATCAGTGAGATTAAATTTGACCGTTTAATATTAGAGGCAAGGACAAGGTCATTACCCTATATAACTGTTTCGAATCCCCCCCCCCATTCAAAAGATTGAATGTTTTTCTTTTTGCAAAAAAAAAATAGGGCCTTTGATATTACCAAACTGACATGGATAATTTAAATAAAATAAAAACTTTTTTAAATTTTTAGGATTTATTAGTTATTTTTACATGCTTCTCCTATATTTAACTTTTTCCAATTTTTACATATAGTAAAGTTGTCACATAAAGGTACAAAATGATACAAAAACTAAAATTTTAACTAAGAGAGAAATAACACTTTTTACAAGGTCAAATCTGTACAGATTTGAAGCATTTAAAAAATTTTTAATGTGTGAAAAATCTTATTTATTTGATATATTTTTGAAACTTTAGTCCCTTATTATTAATTTAACTTACATTTGAAAATTTCGTCTAATCTTTGATTGCGTGAAAAATATAACTAAATTCAATGTTCTATGATAATTTTGAGAGGCAGAAAAAAATATTTTCATCTTGCCACCATTCCGCCAAAAAATACTGTAGTTTTCAAAGCAGTTTACCATTTCTATTTAAAGTTGTATAATTGTGATGAGGAAAGAAAAATATGGTCTTTTAAATCTCTTACATCTAAATATATAAGACATATCAACAAATGTACTTTGAATATTTTTCTAGTCAGTTGTTATAACAAAGAGAAAATAATTATCAAAACCACTGACCCAGGGCCATATATTTCAAAATTTTCAAATTTTGTCATAAAATGGTTGATTAATACCAAAGAGCAGATTTCAAAGCATTAATTTATTTTCAGGCTATGAAGCTCTACTGGCACCTTTCTTCATCATAAATATATATATATTGGATCATTGGCTTAAAACCCAGAAGCAAAGAAAAATACTTATAACAATTAAATGAAGACAAAAGTAGCAGTTGGGACTTAAAACTTTACAACAGCAATAAATAGAATAATGATGCTTGATTGAGCTCTTTTTGTGGCAAGATACTGCAAAAAGACTACAGCTGTAGGAGTAGCTATTAATAAACTTTTAGAGTATTTTCAATTTTAGTAACCATGGCAACATCATTCATCGAAATCAAAAATCGATAAATAGAATTATGTATCTTAGTGTAGTCTACTTGTGTGCCCAGTTACATTGAAATCAGACCAAAACTGTAGGAGGAGTAGCATTTTGAAAGTATTTCACAGAAATTTCTATTTTTAGTAACCACGGCAACACCGTTCATCGAAATCAAAAATTGATATACAGAATTATGTATCTTAGTGTAGTCTACTTGTATGCCAAGTTATATTGAAATCAGACCAAAACTGTAGGAGAAGTAGCATTTTGAAAAATTGTTTACAGACAGACAGATGGACAGACGGTCGGACGCATTACTATCGCATAAGCTCTTCTGGTCTCTGACCAGTAGAGCTAAAAATTAAATCCCACAAGGAATGTTTATATGACTATATATTGAATTAGGTTACTTTCAAAACAACAAAATTAAATGCCTGCAAAACTTTTAAGACAAATCAATGAATTTTTTCCCCCATGAAAATTTGTGCTTTGACAGTAATTTCTTTAAAATTGAGCTATATGCAAAGTGGGACGGAAAGACAAAGGACAGAAGGTAGGATGACGGAAATGACAATTCTATATGGCCTGGGATGTTTTCATTATAAGAACTTACGGCTGCAGATTTCTCTCCTATTGGAGTTATAAAGACGTTCTGTATCTGTGACATAGCTGCTATGATCACTGCCTCCTCAGAACACTCAAAGTCTCCTAAACAAAGAGGAGTCAAGTTAAAATAACTTCACTCTTTTTTCATGCTATTTATCAATACTGTATACAGGGTTATTTTTGCCCCGTGTTTATTTCGCCCTTTCACAGTTGCAAACAATTTTTCTTCATTTTAAATTTGCCCAGTTATTTTTTTTTTTTAAAGAAATTATGCTGTATTCTTTGAATTTGCCCTGTTTTAAATTCGCCCATATGAGGGTAGGGTGAAAGGGGCGAACATAAAACATGGGCGAAAATTTCCCTGTATACAGTATATATTCAAGTATTGTAAACATACTTTTCTCACAGGGTAAAAATTCCAAGGGGTCCCTATTTCTAATCAATTTTACAAGTAGAAAATCACTTGGTTTTCTTGTGTTGCCATTTATGTCTTATACAAATTTAAAGTATGCTGGGACACAAAGCATTTTCAGAAAAAATTGGTGACAGTCAACAAAGCACGAATTATTTTAAAGTGGGAAAAAGTAAGTCAACAGTAACATAAGATAGGTGGACAAACTGAGATTTGATCAATAAAGAAATAATAGTCATGATAACTTTAACTTTCATGGGAGAAAAAAAAATCTATATATGGAACTGCTGACTTTGTAGCTCAAGATAGACAACTCTCTTGAACATATTTACCAGAGGAGAGTAGTATTTTAGAAAACATTGGTGTCAGAGGGAATTCAGCCATCTGTAGCCCCAGGGGTGACGTTAAGTTACCATTGTCATCCAGAGCTAAAATGGAAAAATTAATTGGTGTTATCCTTAAAAAAAAAACAACTGCACATGAGAGTCATGAGTTCATAATTTTTTTTAATTTCAACTACTGTAGGATAAAAATAACCTGTAATTTATTCCGTGTTATAAAATCCATGAATTTAAGAAACGGCAAATAATAAAAAAAAATCATGTTTTTTTTTTTCAAAAATAAGTCCAGACTACCAGATGATCCAAATTACAGTCATTCAATATCAATAATTACAATGGGACAAGTAGTACTCGTGCACTGATATATATCTAATTTTTTAAGATGTCTTAATTTCAATTCCATTTATTTGTGGATGGTGGATAAAATCCAATGATAGGGATTAAAAATAATTTTTTTTCCATACTTCAACATGATAAGGATAGTTTGAACTCCTTAAGTAATGTTTATGATAATAGCTGATGGATACTTTGTTTTTGGGAATAAAAATTGTTCTTGCTAAAAAATGTAATAATTCAAACAAAAGGAGGTAAATTTAATTTAATACTGCAGATATAAACAAATTTTGGCAGCACCTTATTTTCGTGAGATAGACATTAGCTATCTATAAGCGGGACAAAATTTTCACAAATTCTGGTTAAGATCTATAATTCGGTTAAGGTCTAAAATTCATGAGAACAAAACTATGTGAAAGAATGAAACTTTTACAATTAGACTGTCTCGTTAATTCTGCAAAAATAAAGTTCTCATGAGGAAAAAGTGATTTACACTACAAATTCTGCAAATTTGTCAGACCATGATCATGACAGTAAAATGAGAAAATGACACCCCTGAAATTTATCCCCCCTCTGAAGTAAATGGATTCAGTTTAACATATTTCACATGCATGTAACTTCAAAAAGAGCCACAGACCTTTAAGTGCATACAGCAGCTCTAGACCTCTAATCATATTCTGTGCAGGGGGAGGCTGAAAGTAATACAGATAACAATTTATTTGTAAATACAGTGCTATGACATGCCATTATTTTGGAAAACATGAAACTTGATGTTAGGGTGCCACAATAACAGCTGCCAGGTTTATGCATTTTTTTATTAAGTATTGTGTGAAATTCTAAAAAATTGTTAAATATTTCAAGTATCAGATCAGCCCTATGTTTTGGAAGACTAAATTTGATTGGTCTTTACCGATAAGAAGTGAAATCTGACAAGGTTGGAGACTCCCAGGGCCTTCATCTGCAGTATCACAGGAGCCAGGTCTGACCGCTGGAACTCTGGGACAGTGGAGGCCTCAAGTCCCTCATAACCATCCTCTACAAGACAGAGATTAAAAATTACAACACTACATAACAGTGAACTTCATGAAAACATAAGGTTTGTCTTCACAATTCATTAGGAATTAAAGTGATTATACTCCTTAAACAAGAGATGTTCGTAAAATACTTATGCCCCCTCCCCCAAATACTAGTAATTGGAATTTGTCTAACTCAAAGGGGCATAACTCTGTCCAAAACAGCGCGATTGTACCCAAAACATATCTTGACCTAGATATTCTCATGATAAATCTCTATACCCAATTTCATTTCAATATGTGCAACCACTGGGCAGAAAATGAAAAGAAACTTGGTGGACCGACAGACAGACAGCAGCAAAGCAATATGCCCTCCCTTCTTAGAAGGAGGGCATAAAAAGAGAAAGCTGAAAGACCAGTCTCCATTGTTCCCTGATTTTAAATCATCAGAAAATAGATTTTAGACCAGAAATTTCCTACTAGCTAGTTAACAATTTGAAAAAGTCTAAAAAAAACTTAAATTGACAGCAAAAATTTGCAATCGAAGAAAAAGAGAAAAGAGAGCAAGGTAACCTATGTAGACATGTTCTTGAGCTTTACTTCACTAATTAAGAGTCAGATGATAACAAGATGTGTTTGTGAAACACTATGCGCCTGGTGGCAACAAAGTTCGAAAAAGCTATTTCTAGCATATAGGTCATAGTCAATGTCACAAGGTCATTGACCTTGGTGATATTTGAAAGAACTTAATTAGAGGAGTATGCATATCAAATATGAAGTCTTTATCTCTCACGGTTCAAAAGTTATGGCGAAGGTTAAAGTTGACAACAGACAGACAAACATGATTAAAATAGAAAGAAAAACAAAAAAGATATATCCCCCAATTTATCAATCCAAGCCCATAAAAACTATAGTATCAATTTAGATAATGTGATAGAAAATGATTTTTTTAACAAAGAATTTTCAAAAATTACATTTAAATGAAAGGTTATTCATTTAATTTTGCAGTGAAATGGATAAACATGAATATCCACAATAAAGAAAAATAAAAGGCTTACCAGTCTGTAAGCCTTTCCTGTCCTCAGACTTACCTGTGTACAGTCTGTAGGCCTTTCCTGCCCTCAGACTAACCTGTGTACAGTCTGTAGGCCTTTCCTAGCCTCAGACTTACCTGTGTACAGTCTGTAGGCCTTTCCTGCCCTCAGACCTACCTGTGTACAATCTGTAGGCCTTACCTACCCTCAGACTAACTTGTGTACAGTCTGTAGGCCTTTCCTACCCTCAGACCTACCTGTGTACAGTCTGTAGGCCTTCACTGTCCTTAGACAGACCTACCTGTGTACAATCTGTAGGCCTTACCTACCCTCAGACTAACCTGTGTACAGTCTGTAGGCCTTTCCTACCCTCAGACTTACCTGTGTACAGTCTGTAGGCCTTTCCTACCCTCAGACTTACCTGTGTACAGTCTGTAGGCCTTTCCTAGCCTCAGACTTACCTGTGTACAGTCTGTAGGCCTTTCCTGCCCTCAGACTTACCTGTGTACAGTCTGTAGGCCTTTCCTACCCTCAGACTTACCTGTGTACAGTCTGTAGGCCTTTCCTACCCTCAGACTTACCTGTGTACAGTCTGTAGGCCTTTCCTACCCTCAGACTTACCTGTGTACAGTCTGTAGGCCTTTCCTGCCCTCAGACTTACCTGTGTACAGTCTGTAGGCCTTTCCTGCCCTCAGACTAACCTGTGTACAGTCTGTAGGCCTTTCCTGCCCTCAGACTTACCTGTGTACAGTCTGTAGGCCTTTCCTGCCCTCAGACTAACCTGTGTACAGTCTGTAGGCCTTTCCTGCCCTCAGACTAACCTGTGTACAGTCTGTAGGCCTTTCCTGCCCTCAGACTAACCTGTGTACAGTCTGTACGCCTTTCCTACCCTCAGACTTACCTGTGTACAGTCTGTAGGCCTTTCCTGCCCTCAGACTTACCTGTGAACAGTCTGTAGGCCTTTCCTGCCCTCAGACTTACCTGTGTACAGTCTGTAGGCCTTTCCTGCCCTCAGACTTACCTGTGTACAGTCTGTAGGCCTTTCCTGCCCTCAGACTTACCTGTGTACAGTCTGTAGGCCTTTCCTGCCCTCAGACTTACCTGTGTACAGTCTGTAGGCCTTTCCTGCCCTCAGACCTACCTGTGTACAGTCTGTAGGCCTTTCCTGCCCTCAGACTAACCTGTGTACAGTCTGTAGGCCTTTCCTGCACTCAGACCTACCTGTGTACAGTCTGTAGGCCTTTCCTGCCCTCAGACTAACCTGTGTACAGTCTGTAGGCCTTTCCTGCCCTCAGACTTACCTGTGTACAGTCTTTAGGCCTTTCCTACCCTCAGACTAACCTGTGTACAGTCTGTAGGCCTTTCCTACACTCAGTCTAACCTGTGTACAGTCTGTAGGCCTTTCCTGCCCTCAGACTTACCTGTGTACAGTCTGTAGGCCTTTCCTACCCTCAGTCTAACCTGTGTACAGTCTGTAGGCCTTTCCTGCCCTCAGACCTACCTGTGTACAGTCTGTAGGCCTTTCCTGCCCTCAGACTTACCTGTGTACAGTCTGTAGGCCTTTTCTGCCCTCAGACACACCTACCTGTGTACAATCTGTAGGCCTTTCCTAGCCTCAGACTTACCTGCGTACAGTCTGTAGGCCTTTCCTACCCTCAGACCTACCTGTGTACAGTCTGTATGCTTTCCCTGCTCTCACTCTGCCTGCTCTCCCAGCCCTTTGCTCTGCTGAAGCCTTTGAAATAGGAACTGTCACCAGTGATTCTGTAATTGTTCAAAGGAAACCACAGATATAATCATTAATCTAGGCCTAATCAAAACTAATTTTTCTACTTCAATATGATTTCACTATGCTTTGATGTATCTTAAGATGTACAATTTTCAACTTAATATTTATATGGAGGTCAAAAATTGTAAACTTAATCGCTGGTTTTTAAAATCATGAACATTTCATCAAAAATTGAATTTCGAATATTTTTTATTTTGGTTTGATTCTCTTATCTCTTAAATATTTTAAACATTTATATAACACAAGATAAAATTAAAATTATCTTCTATAAAATAATCTTCCACTTGATAAATAATTTTGACATACCAACTCCTGATTTTGGATTGTAAGCCTTCAGTTTCACAAATCCACAATCTACAACTGAAAGAAGATAAACAATGGAAATGATTCAAGTTACAGAGAGAGAAAACTTTACTATGTTCTTCTGCAGATACAAGGACATTCATTTGCAAAACTAGACTTTCATTTCTGCAAAATTTTATCAAATACATTTAGCTAACTGTACATAATGCTTTGGATGGTGAAGAACAGTTCAACCTATATAGAGTGTATGAATCTGGTGGATACTGGACACAGGCTTTTGAGTGTATTTTATTACAAATAGCGTGTCAACATCTACCAATTTATCTTTAATTACTACTTTAGTATGTTGCTCAGACTATTAAAAGTGACTTAAGATGTAGACAGATAGAATACTTACTGAACACAATGCCTGGGATAGTGATCGATGTCTCAGCAATGTTAGTAGCCACTACTATCTTTCTTGTTGTTCTTCCACATCTGTCAAACACCTTCATCTGTAGCAAACATGTATTTTGTGAAATACTTTTTGTAGATTTTAAACCAGCACTGATAACCATAGCCTTGGCTAACACTGGAGTGAGAACATTTACATTATCACTGGTAACATAAAAAGTGTTAATATAAAAGTTATGGCTTTGACATTTAAGCAAATGACCTTGAACTTGTCCATATGACTGTGAACAAGGTAAACACCCCTTTAAGTTTCTTGCAATCTTTGTGTTAAGGTGTTTCATTGTTAAAATGTCATTTCCTGGATACAGATTGAACAATCAGATAGAGAAATAGAAAGACAGGGAGATTCCTACATAGATCTGATATACTGAACTGACTGCCCAAAACTTTATTTATAGGTGGTGACTAGGGACAAAAAGAGATTAAAATTCAATTATACATTGTTCATGAACACCCTTTCAAGACTCAAACAAATATTACTTATTACTGTACATATAAACTGTACCTGTTCTGAGGCCGGTAGGCTACCATACATGGGTAAAACCTTCATCTTCATGGCTGCCTGGGTCCTTATACACTCCTTAGCTACATCTCTGTAAGGAATATTAATTAATGCCCCTGTTATACAATAAAAGATACAGGAGGCCCATGGACCACAACACTTACCTGTAGGTAACTTTGGCTTTGCTATACTTCATCAAATCCCCCCCCTTTCTGTAATATGTATTGTGGCCCCATCGTATCCCCAGGGATCATGATTTGAACAATGTAGAATCTACTCTAGTCCACCCAAAGATGCTTCCACAAACATATATGCATTAGTTTCAGCTTTTCTGGCCTAGTGGTTTTTGAGAAGAGTTTTAAAGATTATTCCTATATATTTCAATGTTAAACTTTGATTCCCAATAGGATTCATTCTCGTATTTTCCCGCGATAGGTGGCGCGACGGTTCTAGAGGTGGTTAGCTGAGAGTTTGATTTTCGCGTCACGCTTGAAAAGCATGTAAACAAAATTCAGTTTATCAATAAACATCAATTAAATCAACAATGCCGCAGTATTGCTGTGTCCCAGGATGCCATAATTCAGGAGGACATAAATTCCCATCAGATCCAGAGTTACAGCAGAAGTGGATCATTGCAATTAAAAGAATTGATCCGAAAACGAAACGGTTATGGAGACCCAAGAAGCACGATGTTGTGTGCCATTTACATTTTCGGACTGATGATTACAGAAGCACTGGGCTATTAGGTACGTCTAAACAATATTATTATTGATCTTCGTATTATGTTATTTTTGTTAATTCATTCATTTTACTTTTTCTTGAGTTAACCATGTTAACACCAGAATTTAAAGTTCGCGTTGCTTTGTGGTTTCTTGTTTCTTTTTCAGTTGATACTCATCCAAGTCCTTGAAGAATAGAAAGTGCCACACAGATAAGATTTACAAATATAACCATTTCTATATGAATTACTTTTATTTATTATACATGCACTATAACTAGCCACTGTGCTTTAAAATAGTTGTAGACAGGTAGAGAAACACCTACCTATTATCAGATTATCATGATTATTAAAATATTAATATATTTATTAGGCCCTGATGGGTGCTCTTTAATTGTAAAAAAAATTACTTTATATATTATGTGCTTTACAAAAGTATTCTAGTACTGATTTTTTACCTTCTTGATATAATTACTTGGGTTGTTTAGAAATATTAAAACACCTCACTGGCCAGTCCCTGACTATTACCCCAATTTTATATAGTGACATGTCGCAATATAAAAACAGGGATAAGAGTCAGAGGAATATCGGATTTCCCACCAATTCCCTATAAAAAATCTTTCAAAGAGGGTTGTTTTGATATGTGTACAAAACAATTAACCTCTATAAGGGAGGTTATATTGAAAATATTTCTCAAAAATATATAGAGGATATTTTTTATTGTGCAAGAGCTGTAATATTGTAATGTGTCATTTGTTGCAAGTGTATACCATTCTATGATTTACTAAATGTATTTTAGGAGACCGTTCCTGTTTGAGAGAAAACGCAATACCAACAGTGTTCGAGTTTAGGAAAAGCATCACTGATGAGTCACCACGAGCTAAGCGTTACAAAAGCAGAGAAGCATCTGATGATCAACCTGTGCAGCCTGAGCTTGGCAACTTAGATGTTCAGTATGAAACTGAAGTTGCAACATCTACACCTGTGATGATGGAGGAAAGTCCAAAACCAGAACAAAATTTTCCCAATATGTGCGATGAGGAAATTCAGTGTGAAATTCCTATATCGGAAAGGTACTCTATTGATAATTTTCGTTTTGATGATAAGGCGATTTTGTATTACACAGGGTTTGATGATTTTGATCATTACATGATGTTCTTTTACTGCTTGGGGCCTGCTGCATTTGAACTGAAATATCAATGCTCTCTGTTACATCCTAAGGATCAACTGTTCATGACTCTCATGAAGTTGCGACAAGCAAAAGATGATGTAGAGTTGGCACTGCTTTTCAAAGTGTCAGAATCAACTGTTTCTAGGATAATAGTTCAGTGGATAAACTTCCTTTATTTTCAGTTAAAAGAACTTAACATTTGGCCGTCCAAAGATATAGTTCAGGAAACCATGCCGGTTGATTTTAAGCGAAAGTTTCCAAAAACAAGAGTTATTCTTGATGCAACTGAGGTTCCTATTCAGAAGCCCTCTCATGTAAATTGCCAAAGCATAACGTGGTCAAACTATAAGCACAAGAATACGTTGAAAACAATGATAGGCTGCAGTCCCAGAGGTGCGGTTACTTTTATATCTGACTCTTATGGAGGCTCAGCAAGTGACCGACAAATCATTGAGAAGTCGTCTTTGCTCGATCCTACTATAAAATTATTTGACAAGAGAGACAGCATCATGGCAGACAGAGGAATCATGGTACAAGATTTGTTTGCCTGCCGTGATGTTGCTGTCAATACACCAACCTTTTTAAAAGGTAAATCACAGCTAGATGCACAAGAAGTAGTCAAGGATAGGAGAATATCTTCAAAACGTATTCACATAGAGAGAATTATTGGATTAAGTAAGCGTTACAAAATTCTTCAGCACGGGATACCAAGCAGCAAAATTCTCTTAGGGTCTAGAATAATTTATATATGTTTTGCCATATCTAATTTCAGGAAGTCTATTGTACACAAAAATGCATAGGCTTGCAGTGTCTATAAGTGTACACAAAAATGTGTAGGCTTGCAAAGTCAACAGAACTTATTATTTTATGATAGGAACCTCAGCTGCTTAAAAAATAAACACTGATTACCTGGTAGTTAAAGCTGAACATGATTCATAAAAGAATTCGTCCGTAATATACTATTGTTCACTCTCTATATCTGAAGACCCCTATATAAAGCCACTCAAGTCACTGTTCAGTAATATCAGTCATCATCTGTGTAGACAGAGTTATTCTATACACATAGAAAGAAAATATAACTGTTTTAATCACTTTTTTGCAAATATAGACATTACATAGGCATTGAAATTTCCCTTTTTTTGTTTAGCCCTTCCACTTTCAATTAGCCCCCCCCCCCCCACTTTCAATTTGCTTCTGACGCCCATGTTAATTACTGCTAATGTAGGATAGTAACATACCAAAGAAATTTACAACAGTTGCATAGGTCAGTGCAGTGTACAAACACAACTGCAATGAAATGTAAACAAGGTTATGCAGATAATCAACACGATCAAGTGTCACCATTCCACACCATATACCCATGACAATAAAGCAATCAGGTCAGGTGTAACGAATGTGAAGGGCATACCCCGTTGCTATGGTAGGTAGTATTGTCAAAACTGGCGGCATCCACTTATGAGTCATGTTCAGCTTTAAAATGTATAAAAATTATATGAATTGCTTGATGAATGTAGATATATTTAGAATGGTTAAGAATAAACATGTTTTTAATACATGATTTTTCTCTTTTTTTCATCTCCTTGATTTAAAGTAGTCTTGTATAATTTCTGAATGAGGTTTACATTCAAATTGCTGCAATACAATTTTATTTTGTACATCGGTTTATGCAGCTCATATGTTAAATCCCCCAGAAGGAATCTGGATTGGATATCTGATTATTCCAATGATATTTTTCATGTCTTTAAAAAATAGCTAGGAAAAAAAAATAATTTAAGACAATATTAGCTGCATACAGTTGTTCATTTAATAGCAAACATGATGCACATGATATATTCAATATTCTATCAGTCCAAAAAAACTTCAGTTCTGAGGCATATATTCCAAATTATTCACCTAATTTAGCCATGTTAAACATGAGTATATATACTTAGAATATTTGATTTAATGTAAATGTCATTTTGATTACAATTACCAAATCAGAGAATGGGCAAAGCTAGCTACAATATGGTTCAAATTGAAAATCAGAAGAAAAAAAATGTACACATCAGTTGTATTTATATCATAAGAAAAAAATTCCTTTAAAAATGCATTAATCTTTAACTTCAACAACAGTTTTTGTCTACAAAAATGTGTCTAAAAATTTTCTGAACAAAGATTTCACAAGCATAAAAACATATGAACAAATTCACTTGTGTTTCTTAACAGAAAAAAAACAACCCCTTAATGGTCTGCATGGCATAGAAAAAAAATTACAGCAAGGTTATAATAAATGATCAAATATATCAAACTTCAAAATCTTGTAGCTTCAGTTCTGTTTGTATCTTGCCCACAAGACATAGACAAATCAACATCATCATATCATATAATACATATACATGTAAATACATTTCATATATTTGATATGCAAATAGGGCAGTACAAATCTCAGGTGTATGCTCATAATTTTGATGCTATGAATGGCCTGTAATATTTCTCAAAAAATACTTTCAACTTTGGCAGCAAAGAATTTTCACAATAATGTTTGTCTAGATGAATTTTCTGTACAAAAAGATCCTTCAGAGTAAAAACTACAAAATAACAAACTTCTCTTTTGCTTATGTACAGCTGTCCCTGTATTTGATCATAATAACTATGTGACTTTTTCAGTGCAATATTTCCATTGTCATCAGTCGTAAGATATTTAAAGTGACCTCCTGGTTTGACCATATCATTTTTACCACTGTAGGAGCATTTGACCTCAACAATTGCAGAATCATCTACAACTGCATCAGGGGATGCTCCCAAATATGGAAAGTCTAAACAGACAAAAAGCCCACATTCTTTAGTTTTTATACCCAATTTGTTTTCAAACAATTTCAACGCTTTTTTTTCATAATTTTTCCCATGAAGAATGGCTTTCGTTTTGATATTTGAACATAAAATAGAACAACATAATTTATTCGTATTGCGTCGACAAGTAGCTCTGCAGACTTCTCCAAATCGTGATGCAGTCAGTCTCCACTCCCTCGCCTCAAACCATTTGGTGTTTTTGCTCTGTCCTCTTGTTGATTCTTCTATCTGCTGAATTTTTCGTTCATCAACCTTTATATATTTTATTAGTTTTTATTGAAATGTTATGTCCAAATAAATTTTTTTAAAAATAATTTATACTTAATCTAAAAAACCATCGAATATTATTTTGTTTACTTTAATTTTTTTTAAACAATGAAAATTATTATTTATGACAAAGTATTTGATCAAAAAAAGGAAAGAAAAGCATTGGAACTATTTTAGATTATTTCAAAAATATTTTTAAGTACAATTAGTTTTTCATATTTCTATTGCTTAATTACCAGTACTTACCATCAAAGCATTATCAACCATTTGTTCTGTAAGTGGCAAATTACCATAGTCATGCATCATGGACACAACCTGTATTATCAAAATAAATAAATATTAATAACATAGATCTGTCAGCTGTATTTTTTATATTCTGTCTTTAAATAAATTTGGCAGCACTATTCATATTTTCAATGTACATACATACATGTATATGTGAAAAATATAAAGTGTACACTGTAAAGTTAACTGCTTAATAGTTATATTTATTTAAAGGATTTTTTTTATTTACATGAATGTTCAATGTATGTACAAAATGTAGTGCTACATATAAACTAAATTAGAAACAGCTATGATTAACCCAATGTTAACTTAGTATTTCCTGTTTTACATGCACATATACTTCAACTATACCTGAAAATTTGCTCTTGGATACAGATACCTCATAGAGATATCTTTAGATGTTATGCTGCAGTAGTTGGTGATGATATTTTGTACCATAGAGTTGTAAGACGGATTGTTTCTGTGCTTGAGTGGCCTTGGATCTTCAAAAAAGTCTTCATACGGTCTCTTTTTAGATGGGAGATCCTCAGCTTTTACTGGAGAACCTGTTTTGTTTTAAAAAAAAAAGATATTCAATATTTATGGAAATGGCTAGTTGTAGTACAAACCAATTTAGAACATTAATATGAGAAGATTTACATAAATTTTAATGACAGAAATGATAGTATGTAATTAATATGTAATATTGTTAAAATAAGTTTAAAGAAGAATCTTTTTCCTGTTTAAAGCAAAACACATACCACTGTAAGCACTTTTTGGTCTATGGAAAGACATCAGATTTTCGGTGCAGGATCTTGCAATTTTTAAAGTCCCATTCTCGGTAAAATACTCGAGCATGATGCAAACAGCCGCAAGATGTTTGCAGGTGCCATGGGGCCCTCTTCCTGCTGGGCATTCACAGTGGGTGTTCAGAGGGTCCCCACTCTCTCTTGAAACCCTGACTTTATAATTGTAAGTCACCTATGAAGTAGATTTTCAAATTTAAATATGTATAAACCCATACATATAACTATGATGTCAGACTCATTTTCATCAATATTTGTTTTTCTCTATGTGTAAGCATTACGCAAAGAAATATCTCAAGAGATGAATGCTACTCGGTACTGACTTACTTTTTGTTTCATCGCTGCACCCACAATTCCAGTGAGGTAAATATCATTCTCGATGCATATAGAGCAAGCCAGAACTTTGTTGGAGTCAAACATGTCTTGGCCCTTCACCAATGCTTTCAAATCTCCAGTGCATTGTCTGTCATCTAATTAAAAATAATATCTAATTAATATCAATATTAAAATTTTGGAAGTATTGACCAAGATGATTTACCCTGGCTGTATAATCTGTCAGATAGAAGTTTCCCTCAATAATCTCAGTTAAAATTTGATCCTTTAAAGGTATAGATCTATATACCTGCTATTCTATAAAGAAAATATGCCTCTATCTGTTCTCGAGTGATTTTAGGAATGATATGTTGGTGTTCTGGGAGAATCTGTTTAAATCCAGCAACCGGCCATCCGACATCAAGGGGCTCTGGTAATAAAACAGGATCTTCCTTGAAGTTCTGATTCCGATCATAGGCCTCCAATCTACCAATTAATTACATCTAATTAGTACGAAATGGCTAATATAACAAATAAAATAAATCCTGTATGAAATACACATGAAAGAATTGGATAAAACAGATAACCAATAACTGAATAATATTAGAATTGTGTTACTTATACATTTATTAAAATTAAGGCTGACCATTGTGTACATTTACAAGTACATGTACATCTGCATGCGTGTGCCTAAATAGACATTTTTTTTCTTTAAGGCCTTTCATTAATAATGATTAATAAAAACAACAACAAACGCTTGAGATTTCATTGGAGTGGCTGAACGCCTGAACGAGACGAACTCAAAACTGCTGACTAATCATGCTAATGTGGGTAAATTCATGCCCGCAATTTCATTTGTGATATAATTAAATATCCAATAATATTGAAAGATAAGTATGTTAACTATATCAAATATATATAATATTAAAAATTTGAGTCACGAATAGGCCTATATAACTATAAGACGCAAACTTTGTCATTACCGGAGACATCTCCGTAGGCTGGCGTAGCCTACCTAATGCTAACGTGGTTCAACTTCAGCTTACTTTCAATGTTTAAAAGACGTAGTATTTACCTGTCTATAAGTTCCTGCTTTCGACCAGTTGTTACTGCACCTCTTTTTACCAATTCCTCTTTTATCTGTGGGACTTTCCAACGAGAATAACGCGAAGAACTTTCATCCATGGTTTCTGTTTACTACCTAACAGACGCTTGAATTTAAGCGCTCTTCTAACCACCTCTAGTACCGTCGCGCCACCTAGCGAGTAATGACGTGAATGCGTACTATTGTACTTACACCCTGTCCCAGGGGTCATGATTTGAACAATTTAGAATCTACATGACCCTAGAATACTTCCACATAAATTTCAGCTTTTCTGACCTCTTGAGAAGAAGAATTTTTAAAACCCCTACCAATTTTTTTGTTTTTTTGTCTTTTCTTTATTTTTTTCCTTCCTTGTAAGGGGGCTTGGTCCTTCATTTTAATAATTTAAATTTTCCTTCAATCAAGGATACTTTGTACCATCTTTGATTAAAATTGGCCCAGTGGCTCTTGAAAAGAAGCTGAAAATGTGAAAAATTTACAGACGAACAGATGGACAATGGACAAAAGGTGATCAGAAAAGCTCACTACATCTTTTAGTTCATGTTAGATAAAAATTACTATCTTTTCTTGAAACTGGAAATTTTTAAAGTTAAAGGTTATAGTTGATCAATGTATCCAATTAATTCCTTTGATCCACCATATAAGATGATAGTGATTGTTGAATTAAACATATTTTAATTTATTTGATAACGAGACATTTATTGTTTTTTTAATGAAAAGATTCTATAAACTTCTGTTAATTTTGTACATATAAAATTTGGTTCTGTATTTCATCAAAAAATTTTAAATTTAAAATTTAATCTTAATAAAAAGGATCTTACATCAATTGCCTTGTCACAGTTTCAACTTCATCCTGAAAAAAGAAAAATAAGTACAAATTGGCTTGTGTAAGCAATGTCAACTATGAATATTTTAGTAATTAGTATGTCTAAATATGACAAATCATGACTATGCTATTCAGGATAAGAAAAATTTTCAATTTTTTTTTATTTTTTCCCCTACGCATTCCTATGTAAAACTTCGACAACTCTAAGTGCCCCCCCCCCCCCTTTACCCCCAGGGGTCCTGATTTGAACAAAATTTTTAATCTACACTAGCTGAGGATGCTTCCATACTAATATGATTAATCATGATATGATTAATCAGTCTTTGCTGTTTGTGATAAGAAGTATTTTTTAAAAAAATCTATGTATTCCTATGTTAAATTAGATCACTTATAAAGGCCCCATCCACCCCCCCCCCCCCATCTGTCCCTTGGGGGTAATGAGTTTTACGGATTTTAATATACTCTACCCCAATTACCTTTCACAAATTTTTCCTTTTTTTGCCCTGTGGAATGTAGAAAAGAAAGAATTTTTAAAATAAAAACAATTCCCTTTCTGTGGCCCCCTCTATACAAATGCATGCATGAATGACCTTAAGTGCCTTTAAATATCAACACAGAAAGAAGCATAGCGTAGATTCAACATGGCGCACCATCACAACTACCCACAGCAGAAGATGACGGTGGGCATGTGGAAGGAGTGCTGGAATACCTCAGATGTGGACTTCCACAACCCAAATCTTAATGAACTGTTCTTAAAATATAACAAGAGCATGCTAACAAGGCCTGGCATGAAAATATTTGTGCCACTGTGTGGAAAAGCAGTGGAGATGAAATGGTTGGCGGATCATGGCTATAAAGTGGTGGGACTGGAGGTAGCACCTGTTCCTTGCAAGGCATTCTTTGAAGAAAATAACATTCCTTATGAGGTCTCAGAGATTGGGGCCATCCATGGGGAGAAGTATGAAAGTTTGGATAAAAAAATTGTCATTTATTCCTGTGATTTTTTTCATCTTACTGTGGACATTTGTGGAGAATTTGATGGGATATGGGATTGTGGTGGCCTCAATTCTATGGAAGTCGAAGACAGGGTGTCCTACATTCACAGAATCCGAACCTTCATGGGAAAAGGGTGCATCAACTTGACCGAATTTGTGAACTTTGACAAGTCTATTAGTGATATTCCTTGGAGCATGTCCAGGGAGGACTTACAGAAAGGCTTTGGGGAGGGGTTCAAGGTGGAGGAGTTAACAAATGAGGAGGCCTCTCAGATATACAAGCACCAGGGCTGCTCCTCAGTGGTGCTCTTCATGATCACCAAGATCTAAACCTAAAATGAAAGTACCAACTACCATCAGGTTCCAGTTTGAAAACCAGTTTCAATGTTGTTATTTCTTTCATTACTATTTTTTGCTCAAGGACGTTTTTTTTTTTAAATCATGGAAACAACTCAGTTTAAAGATATTTTATTTCCTCAGTGCCATACTTCAGATTCTTCCATTAACTTCTGATTCAACAGGCAGGTATGATTGTCAGGAGAATTACGCAATGAGATTAAGAGAGACAAAATTTATCAGTTTATGAACATGGTTTCAGCTAGATCAATAGAAAGACTAGCTGCAACTCAGCCATTATCATAATTTAATCTAAACCAGCTTCTAGAAAAGTCATATTCAGTAGGCATGATCAAGTAATGGATTTCAAATTTTATCTACTAGTATTTTGAATTTATTCTTTCAAATTTACTATACATTCAAAATATGTTGGCTTGGTTCTGTTTAACAAATTTCTAGAACTGAGAAGCAAAATGATGAGTAATGTAATATAAATGTGGGTTGTGTTTAAATGTGAAATAACTCAGTTTTAAGAGTGACATTTATTAACAGTATTTAGGAAATCATTACTCAGGTTTAATTTTTTTGATTGCTCTGTTGTTTTTGTCTTCAGTGCAATCTTGATATTTGTACAAGATTTATTTCCTTTATCAAAATCCATTTATTTGTTCGCTTAGGCTGAATAGAGCAACATTTTTTTTTTTTTTTTTTTTTTTTTTTACTTTTGCAAAATGTGTATTAAATTTTTTTCCTATGAACAAGCATTATGTAACGTGGACAAATTAATACATGTAAGAAATGTCGTTTGCATTCAATTTTTGTGCTATAAGTTTACAGTGCCATATATGTGATATATATAGTTATACATACTTTTAATACTGTACAATATATACAATTGTATCAGAATAACAGTTTCCTTGTATTTATGAAACAGACTGCTGTAAATCACTCTTTATCTGCAAACCTTTATCATGGTTATATTTCTGTGTCATTACAAAACTGCCTGATGGAATTTTTTTTCTTTCATATTGAATTGAGAAAATAATTTCTTGTTTAATAATGATTATTTACTTGCCAAAACTCACATTCCTGAAATTTTTTCCTTGCATTTTAATATCATATGACCATGGATGGTCACTATTTCATGGAAATAAAGGTGTTGCAAAAATAAAAGGTGATCTAGCTGAAGCATAAAAATGTAAAATTGAGTGATATATTACAAACACACCAATAAATACTTTCAACAAAACAAACAACATTCTTAATTTTCATTTGATATTAAAATAGAGCATTTATTTATATTTTCTCCATATGGAACTTTATTTCTCACACAGTAAATGGTACTTTAATTTACATGGTAACTACACATGGAAAGACAAAAGAATATTTTACTCTGGCTGATTTCAAAATGTCATATCCCTTTATTATAATCTTCATTTCCTCAGATGTAAAAACACTTCAATTTTACAAGCAGTAAAACAGATTATCCAGCTGTTAAAATTGAGGCTAAATTCCATTCAAGAACTCTCTTTTATCCCTTGCTATGACAATCAAACCTCACAATTAATTAAATTTGTAATATATTACAATTTTTATACATGAATATTGAGTGATAGAAATAAACAATTGGTCTAAGAGAGTAAGAGAAACTTATACAGATTGAAAAGACCTTGGGCCCTGTCAGTTCAATGGCCTTAGGGTCATCAGAGAGTTTTGAAAACCCTTGAATTATCATGTCCATCTCACCAAAATTTAATATTCTGTGTTGACCTGTCTTTTTAATCTATTGTGTCAGTAAATCTCATTAAGTCTTCTTAATGCAAACCATCAGTAATTTAAATACACTGTATCATAAACATATTTAAACATATTTTTTGTGCTGCTGCTTTATCAATTCTAATTATAAATTCTTAAAATAACAAGGAATGGCTCTGAAGAATTTGTAGGTCAAATAAACAATTTACTGAAATTGTGTGGTCCATAAAAAACTTCAACAGGTGATAAGTTAGATGTGAATCCATAAATCATCCAAAAAAAACTCCTGTTATCAATAACACTATATAGTACACTGGATTTAAAAACAGTTACACTTGATCATTATAAATGAAGAATAGTAGACACTTTCCTCTTCAAAACTTTTTTTACGACCTGCAAGCTCATACTAGTCTTGCTCAACAGGTATAAAAATATCACATTGTGTCATAAAGTTACCCAAGTGTCAAATTTAATCACCATTTATATCAGTTAATCACAAGTGGGTAAACTTCGTTCCATATGTGTTCCCCACCAACACTTTACTGTATTGATATATCAGTACATGTATCAGAATTTATATCTCTAATTATATGCAAAAATTCCTAAATTTATTTAATAAAAATTTAGTCAGTCTGACTTGCATTGTTACACAGACAAGAGAAGTAATCAACTTTATAGGATATCATGATTTTCTGTCAGTTTTAAAGGTAGAAATAAAAGGGAGCCCCTAGCATATTGATTATTCTCTTATAATGAGAAAATACCTCAAGTGGTGCTCATAGGGACAAGGATGCTTTATGAGGAGAATATTTTTACAAGAAAGGCAATGACTCACACAAAATAAATGTTTATGAAGATCCATTAGTTGAATTAAAAGTCGTAGTACTGGCCCCTCATATACATATTAAAAAAAATTTGTCTATAAAATGCATTATCCATGCAAGTTCGGTTAAGGTGCAATAAACATGCACATGAGTTTACTTGCTATAAAATTTTTATTAGCAAGATATGAAGAATGTCTGCAAAACAATGAAAAGCCAAGAAACATGGATTATGATCATTTATGCTTGTCTAACGCCCATACTGGAATATGGGCATAAGTTTGGGGATCAATACAATACCAGTGTATAGGAGTCATACACCACATACTCTGTTATTACTTAATAATATTAAAATTGTGCCTTCATTTCCTACCAGTATTAGCCATATTGCAGTGCTCCAAGTCAAAGTCACGCTTACTTTTAGGTCGCTAAATGTCGAACTAAATAGTTTTTTGGTTGCCATTTCAAAATTTCTGGTCGCAAACAACAAATATTTCAATCGCCATAATGAAAACATTATTTTTAAAACACTGGTAATACAAAGACACAAACACCCTTTTTCCTTTATATTTATTAAATCAAAGAATACTTATTACTTTGACTATAAACAATTTGCTAGGTTGAAGGAAATATTTTTTTTTATTAAATACAACCACCCTTATGGTTGTACAGTACACAGAGAAGGAACAGTTAGTCTGATCCCAGAATCAAAATTTATTCTAAAGAAAATACAAGACTGACACTTGTTGATACAGGAGTTTGCAAGCTGTTTGGCTATGTTTATTTATTAATACGTACCTATCCTATTAAACAATTTGTTATTAATGTGTCACCAAACATCCTTAATTAGTCTCCAAAATGCGAGTTAGTTTTTATTTCTAGTCGCAAAATCATTATTTTGGTCACCAATGCGACCATTTTAGTCACAACTTCACAACTTGGAGCACTGCATATATGGATATCCCTTCTTCTACAAAAAAATTAAGCTGCATTCTAAGATACTGTAATTATATCCTTTAATCGAGGATGGACATTCAAGTTACAAAAAAAAAAATCCTCGACAGCTAAGGTCTTAAGATAAGGAGGGAGGTAGTCTGACTCACTTGTCCAGTCAGGAAAGCGAGTATGTCGCCCTCCTTCTCCTGGTGATGAATCTTAGAGATGGTCTCCACTGTGGCCTTCAGGTAATCTGGAACAGGGCTAGGAATGGAACAAAACAGAGAAATGGAGTAGGAAAGAACGATGAACTTTTTATTTAATAAATGTTAATATTTTCCATGCTGAAAAACATCTTCTCTCTGGTCTTAACAATTGCATTTTGTTGGTGCACATCATAAATCTCAATTAGTACAAACACGGATATATCAAATTTAGTGACTTGACAAATTCTTGAGATCCTATTAACAAATTTGTTCTACTGATACAACGAATTTCATACACTTTTTTAAGTAAATTCAAAATCCCCAAGACTTTGCTGTTACCGAGTTGAACGGTGTAATTTGTTTCCATGAAATTTTATAATTATTATACATATTGTCTTCCCTTGTTATCACACCCCCTATTATTTTCATAGAGCTTATTTAAGAAATGAATTTAATTTTTGAAGATTTAAGAGGTTATGAACTACCCGGTACGATGCTTCGCACCGGCATATTTCATAAAGTGCATTAGCGCTTCATGATAAATTTGCTGACATGAAGCAATTCAGTTCATATACCCTATGAATCTTCAAAAAATAAATTCATTTCTGATACAGGTGACTCTCGATGGCTCGAGCTCCGATCTCTCGAAGTGAACCTCCAGTCCCGTTTTTTCCTCTATACGAGGGTCATTCAAAAAGTTCGTAGACTTTTGCCCTAACTTTTTTATTTAACGTCATATTATATCCAAATTTGGTACACATATTTTAACAACAGATTCAAATAATTATAGTAAAAAAATTGGAATATATCTTCATATCTATAAAGATTATCAAAGATTTAGAATAGCAAAAATGGGGTCACGGAGCACCGTCAAAATTGAGTAATTTACTAATTCTCACAATACAGCATTTATAGCCATATCTCTAATAAATGGAGCTGAAACGAATTAAAATTACATGTTTTAATCAAGTATTGCTGTATTAAACAAAATGATATCAGGCTATGTAATATGTCGCTCTGCTTAAAAGATATCAGTTTCTAAATACATATGGTTTTGATAAAAAAAGGCAAAAAACCATGACGTTGGAGAACGTCACGGAGCAGCGATTAGCTGTAAAATTGTGCTTTGCATTCGGGGAACTTTTTTTTTACAAACTTAAAAAACTCTGTATAAACCAGGATCTGTATGAACCAGAAGTCTCTGTCGAGACTGAAGCTCTACTGGTTTGAACTTATAGCAAAGGAAGAGAAAGTACTTAAGTAGCTGGGATTTGAAACTTTATAAACAGCATTAAATAGAATAATGATCGTTGATAAAGTCTCTTTATGTTCTTAGTGTATTCTACTTGTGTGCCAAGTTATACTGAAATCAGACCAAAACTGTAGGAGGAGTAGCATTTTGAAACAATTTTACAGACATTTCTATTTTTAGTAACCACGGCAACACCGTTCATCAAAATTAAAATTCAATAAACAGAATTATGTATCTTAGAGTATTCTACTTGTGTGCCAAGTTATACTGAAATCAGACAAAAACTGAAGGAGGTGTAGCATTTTGAAACAATTTTACAGATATTTCTATTTTTAGTAACACGACAACACCATTCATTGAAATCAAAAACCGATACACAGAATTATGTATCTTAGTGTATTCTAGTTGTTTGCCAAGTTATACTGAAATCAGACCAAAACTGTAGGAGGAGTAGCATTTTGAAAGAATTTCATAGAAATTTCTATTTTTAGTAACCACGGCAACACCCTTCATCGAAATCAAAAACCGATGCACAGAATTATGTATCTTAGTGTAGTCTACTTGTGTGCCAAGTTATACTGAAATCAGACCAAAACTGTAGGAGGAGTAGCATTTTGAAAGAATTTCACAGAAATTTCTATTTTTAGTAACCACGGCAACACCCTTCATCGAAATCAAAAACCAATGCACAGAATTATGTATCTTAGTGTAGTCTACTTGTGTGCCAAGTTATACTGAAATCAGACCAAAACTGTAGGAGGAGTAGCATTTTGAAAGAATTTCACAGAAATTTCTATTTTTAGTAACCACGGCAACACCCTTCATCGAAATCAAAAACCGATGCACAGAATTATGTAACTTAGTGTATTCTACTTGTGTGCCAAGTTATACTGAAATCAGACCAAAACTGTAGGAGGAGTAGCATTTTGAAAGAATTTCACAGAAATTTCTATTTTTAGTAACCACGGCAACACCGTTCATTGAAATCAAAAACCGATACAAAGAATTATGTATCTTAGTGTATTCTACTTGTTTGCCAACTTATACTGAAATCAGATCAAAACTAGGAGGAGTAGCATTTTGAAAGAATTTCACAGAAATTTCTATTTTTAGTAACCACGGCAACACCCTTCATTGAAATCAAAAACCGATACACAGAATTATGTATCTTAGTGTAGTCTACTTGTGTGCCAAGTTATACTGAAATCAGACCAAAACTGTAGGAGGAGTAGCATTTTGAAAAATTGTTTACAGACAGACGGACAGACAGACAGATAGACAGACGGACGGACGCCGGACGCATTACTATCGCATAAGCTCTTCTGGTCTCTGACCAGTAGAGCTAAAAATAAGCCGTGTATTTGTATAAAATGAAAAGTACAAATTCAGAGCGGTAGCAAGTTTGAACTGGACGATGGATTGTCTGCAAAGAAACTGGTTATGGTTAAAAAATATTGTCAAAAAGAGTTAGGAACGCTTCACTTTTGCCGAATTAATGGAGATACATGGTAAATTAAAGAATTTGAAAACACTGACAATCTAATTCAAGCTGTATTTGCACATTTGTTAGCAAACTAGGTGTTAAGTTTTATTGGGACGTTTTATGAATGGAGAAGACGCTACAAACTGTGTATGAAATTAAAAAACGGAGAAATTTTGAGAAACTTTCTCAACATTGTTTTTTGACGTTTCAATCAGTGTTGGTTGACCGTGCTCCGTGGTAACAAAACATGTTGATTTAAAATTTGGATAACATGAGTTCTATTTAATCAATTGGAATGATACTTCACACACTTCGACAAAATAAATGTTTTTGTTTACGAAAATGTGTCGATCTATACTTTTATAATAATAATATGACGATGAGGAACATTGTCTACGTATTTTTTGAATGACCCTCGTATAACTAAGCAAATACTCCTGATCTCTCGAATTTTTATCTCCCGAAGTTCTCTATCTCTCGAACCAAAACATGGGTCCTGTTACACATATTTCATTGAGTTTTACTCTCTATCTCTCGAAGTTTTGATTGCGTGTGTATACAAGCCAATCAAGCGTAATATTGATGCAGCCGTGAACTTACCTGGAAAACAGTGAACGCCTGGGGCTTGGCATTGAGGTGTTAATTGGGTGTTTACATAGATGACACTTCACCTGTGGGTAGTCCGTGTGTTGATATAATTAATTGATTATTATTGGTAAATTATAAACTGTTTTTAAATTCACAACTTTAAAATTTTGACTTGAAAACGAGACGATAATTTTTAGAAAATAATTTATAGTCGAATCTATAAGTTCCCATAGGCTATGAACTTTTATTAGAGTCTTCATAATCCCAGTATGGCAAATATTGCACAAGAAATTCCTTTCTCAAGGACTTAATACCGATTAAGAAAAGTCTTGTGAACACTGGTGAACAGGTGAAGGACCCGATCAAGCCGTCAAACTGACAATTGCTATTCGGATTTCATGTAATCATTAAATAAGAACAAATAAGTATTGAAACTTTAGGAATTCGTTTTTATTTAGTCGAAATACGATCATTGTTGTTGATATCAAGTAAATATTACCTGTAAAATACGATAGAAAACGTGCAATAACTTTATTTACATATACTTCCGGTATCTATAAAAGTATAACTTCGATGATCGGAACTGAAAATTCCGGATTTTATTTACTTTCTATCTCACGAACCCCTCGATCTCTTGAACTTTTCTTGCGGTCCCTTGAACTTCGAGAGATCGAGAGTCACCTGTATTTACATTGTTTTTCTAATGATTTGCCACAAAATTAATGCCATTCAACTGTCATTTTTAAAGCAAAATTGTTTGCACGATAGTTTTGACATCAAGTGTGGTATTATGACTTAACAATGGAAATATTCATGCTCATCCATGGTAGTTCATGAGAAAATGAACAGTCTTCCTATTTGCAAAGAATCTTAAGGAACATTATTTGGAAATGTAAATATTCTCATGTAAACTCTTTATGACTAGGGCAACAGTTCTCTCTACATAATTACAATGTGGGAAATAACCTACTCAATAGTGTAATGGATATCCACTGGAAAATTTCGGCCCTCCACACTTAGTATAGCAGCAGTGTCTTTGCTGTGCAAAAAACAAATTCAAAAGGTTTAAATTCAGAATTCCATTTATATAATCTTTAACACAAATCTACAATGATTACATCATCTAAATATATACACATTTCTATAGAAAAAGTCATGAAGTTAAAATTAATAAGGATCATTGAATACAAATGGGGTACCATTCTTTTTTGGAGCTACAAACTCCAAGTACAAATATATGTGCATCTTGTATCTAGTTCTTTCACGTTTTTCAATTATTTGTTTTTTTTACAATTACGAGTGCTCTATGATAATGTTTCACTTTTGAATATATATAATATAAGGGTACCTACTTGGAATTTCCTGAGTTGTTGTTGTTGAAAAAGTCTTTCATCTCCTTAAAAAGAGAGATAAACCATATTAAGAGCCAACTCTGCATTAAATTTTAACATAAATCAGCATTTTTGGCTAATATCAAACAACACATGAATTTCAATCTTATTTAAATCTGTAGAGATCTTTAATTTTCTAAGGTAAAAATAGTTTTTATACCATACATTTCAATGTTGTTTGTTTCTTTAAGTTTTTTTGCTTGTGTTTCGAGGGTAAAAATGAATTCTAGTTTAGCTTACTTCTTAATTTGATGCTAAAGGTACAAGTAACAACTAGAAATTATGGCTATATGACATTAGTCACATGAATGCCTCTCCCATGGGCTTAAGCAACATGAAAATTTGTATTCATGTGTAAAAGCATCTTGAAAAGTGAGTTTTATCAATAGATATAGTTTTAGTCACACATTTTACTGATTCCAACATCTTGAATTTGTCAGAGAGCATTATCTAAACAGAGCTGACTGATACTACTGTAAAATTACTGCTCTACTACTCGATTCTCATTTTTTTTTTTTTACCAGCATCCCCAGTCCCTCCTGATAATGCCATCGAGAACTTTACATGCCAACATGACAAATTTTATTTGTTTAGAAATGGATAGATTGTTCTGTGCTATACAAAGAATATCACATAAATTGATATAATATTAGTCTTTTAAGCTGGTCCCTATATTTCTAAAGACATATTCTAATGATAAAAGGGGCACAACTCCTAGACGCATCAAAATAAAAGAGGATGATTGATTGATTATTATTGTTTAACGCCGAGTTGGCAATATTTCAGCAAATTCTAATTGTGTATGACTCTACCTCTGCATCCAGTGTGGCTGATGCAACAATTATCCTGAGATCTTCTCTTTTTCTCTGAATCTGACAAAAAAAATTAGTAAATTTAAATATGAAACATCATGTGTCAAACCTTAATTGTCCATGTACACGGAAAGTTCAAATCAAACCTTTCGTAGAAGTCCCATTATCAAATCTGTGTTTAAAGTCCTTTCGTGTGCTTCATCCAACATAACCACACTGGAATTAGGAATGGTTAATTAAAGATACATTTGTGTGGCTTGTCAGAAATCTCCACAAAAATCAAAGTGAAGGAGAACTTGTTAGCTAATGTTTATTCCTCACCTGTATTTTTTCAGCAGTGGGTCTTCCATTATTTCCCTAATCATCATACCATCTGTCAGAAACTGTAAAATATAATATAAAATTCATCCCTGTTTTCCCTACAAAAATTTACTACAATAAACATATCATCAAAAGCTTTAAAAAAATACTATCATATGAAGGGATGAGTTCAAGTTTGAAGTGGCTACATAGCTCTTATATATGACTTTGTCTAACCATGATGTAAATACATGTATGACATAAATATTTGATGCTATTCCCATTTCAAAAGTACATACCTTTCAAAAATGTTGAAAAATCTTTGAGTTACAAATCAAAGATGGTCATCTTAGTTACAGTTTCACATAATTTTCTACGTTGTAGAGAATTTCATAATGATCAATTTCACAAACAATTTCACTTGACTTCATCTCACTGTGTTCCAAAATTTACTAATTTTTGAAAAATCTGTATTCAAAATCTGACATCTAATGACTAGATTTATACAACCTAAATGCTAGATTAGCAGCTACCATCTTGAGGCTAAACTATGTTTTGTGTTAGCTAATGCTTTTTTACCATGCAAACTTACTTTAATTCTGGTGCGGGTGGGATCTGAAGTGTCATCAAATCTGATTGTGTATCCTACTTCATCCCCCAACAGTGCCCCTCTCTCCTCTGCCACTCGGGTGGCCACCTAAGATATAACAACAGGCAAATTTTAAGTACCAGGTCAAATTCTTTAAAAAAAGCACATTTCTCCTTTTTGTTCCAGATTCATAATAGTTTAGTACATTTACTATCATCAATATAAATTATATTCGTAATCACTGACCGTGACAGCAGCGACCCGTCGTGGCTGAGTGACTCCAATTGTATGTCCCTCTGTTCCCCATCCAGCCTCTAATAAATACTGAAACATAACATAATTATACAAAACATGATTTCCATGAGTTTAACATTGAATTGGAAGCAATATGATCATCACCAAAAAATGGAGGCGTACAAGGTAGGAAAATCCCCCGCTCTGAGAAAAGACATTTCTCAATTCTAAAAATTCATAAAAGCTATATTTTTCAAAATGATATGGTTTATATCATCTTTTACACATTTAATTCTGATTTCATTGTTTTAATAATTTATTGAAAATTTATTTTTCATGGGGTTTTTTAGATATGTGAAAACAAAAGAGAAAAAGCTTCAGTTCATGTAAGATTCTAACCCTCCCCATAGCACAGGGCTTGGCGCAACACCGACCGCCTTAACCACTACGCTATGAAGTATATGCGTTATCGATGTCTGTCAGTGGGATTTAAATGAAGCATACATTTTTTTCCAGAAATGTTCGATTTTCTAAGAGAATGGGTTCAGATTCCATTTTTTGGACAAATGAACTAGATTTTACATTTACATTTCCATCATTTAAACCTTAATGAAGAATGGAGACTTGACCCATTATGTTCAAATTCATTTTTTATGGATCTAGTAAATCCATTTTCCACTAAACATGCTCAATTGTCAATTTTGAAAATAGATAGTCAAATGATAAGTTGTTCAGTAAAATAAAATAGTAAATTGTTTTGAAGATGACATTACTGAGAACATGATTTTAGTGAAATATAATATTTCATGAAATTTGAAATTTGAGAAACATATTATTTCAGATCAGGGGATTGTCCACGCCTTTTATGCCCTCTTCCTTTTAGTACAATTTATATATACCTGGGGTATCTGTGTTGATTTTCCACATCCTGTCTCTCCAACAATAACTACAGTCTGATAGTTTTCCACCAAATACAGGATATGATTCCTCAACTGTTAAACATGGAATAATTATTTCAAATTAAAATAAATAAATCAAGGAAATGGAACTCTGCAGGAATTTGCAAATACTATATAGATTTCTAGATATTCCCAAGGAATTAATTGTAGTGCAATTTGGCAGGAAAGTTTTTATATACCTAAAATACATACATTCCCTTTCTCATGATTTGATGCTATTCTCTATTGAGAAGTTGATGGCTCGTTTCAATAGTCCCCCTCAAGGGAGAGTAAGAGCACTGAAACGAGCCATCATCTTACCAACAGAGAATAGATTTGATGCCTACTTGACATTTTGTGAATGACCTTTTAAGTACTCAGGAAAAATCAGAAATGTACAATTTGTCTGAATTAATTTCAATTTCTCATGCCTTGAACACAGGAAGTTTTTGTCGCTGTTGCTCAATGGAGAGAGACACATTCTGGTTGTACACCACAGTGGTCCCCCCTTCCTCACTCACAGTCTTCCTCTCCTCCTTTATAGCCTGCCCAGGGGCCTCAGTACCTGACAGTCACAAGATATTAAATAAAAATTTAGATATAATACATGTTTTAGATATTGATTGAATTGTGGTTAATGAATACATAACGTCATAAGCAAGTTCAGCATGAAATATTTAAAAGGACAGAAGGAAGCAGCATCAGAGATAATTTCATGCAAAAGGAAAAATTGAAAAAAAATCTAGACCTGAATAAATATCATAGCAATTAAAGGCCAGTTTATTATTAAAAAAGTTGTCCACCATCAGAGATATTTAATAAACAAATAAGGAACGGCGTATTAAATGTCTAAAGCTTTGAAAAAAGGAAAGAAGTTTGAGCAAATTCATCGCCATGAATGGCGCCTAAACACTGCTAAATAGACAAGTGCACTTCAAACTAACCAGGCTTCCAAAACTTTGGTGCAAACGAAGACATCAGTATCTGTTCGTGGCTTCATCACAGTGACACTGACAGTTTCAGGCCCTACATTTCCACGTGTAGTTCGTTCGTCAGACGACTGAGTTTTGTTTACTTCCGATCACCAACTCATGCGCAATGCAAGTTTTCAAAAACCGCGAAAATGGCGCGTCGGTTGATTCCGCTTTACTCCGAAGTTTGCCGATCATTCGTGGGGCTCGATGGGGGGTTCAAAATGAATGAATAAATAGGCTAAATATTATTCTTAAAATAAATGAATAAATAACAGAGTAAATAATAAAAATATAAATAAATAAAGAAAAAAAAATGAAGCCTTAAATCGACAAAAGACTCAAATGAATATTAAGGAAGGTTAATTAAACTTACAGTGAGTCTGCGGTCAAAAAATTGAAATTATAGTGAGTTATCTGATCCTTTTCATTAGCACATAGTTTTTATTTTTTTCTTATTTTCATATTGATGACGTTGACCAGTAGCGTGGGGGTATATAGTGATTAGTTCCTGTTAACGAGTCTAATCGTAATTTGAAACCCAGGGACCCTATGCTTATCCATCTTCTTTGTTTCAAATAAATCCCTCCCCCCATCTCCCACCCCTCCCAAAAGATAATAATTTGGTTATTTTGTTTGTGTTGGAGAGGACAATCTACGTTGGTATAACTTGTGTCCAATCCCATTGACTGTGTTCAATAAAATACGTTTAACAGGAAGATCTGACACGAGCATTAAACAGAACACTCAATTTACTTTATTTTTTTTAATTAATTGTTTTTATTTGCCCCAATAGTCTTCATACTTATAAACGGAAAATTTGCTTTCGTTCCTTAAAAAATATTCCGGCTAATCATATTGTCTGTTTTCCTATATTTACATGTACGCAGAGTTTCTAATTTTTTTTTCTGAAGGCTCAAGGAAAGACCATTTACCATTCATTTTTGAAATTGGTGCACGGGGAGGACAAACAGCCATAGAAATTGACTTCAAATGGATATAAATGGAACACATTGTAATAACAGTCATTTTATCTACAATTTGCCATATTCTTTTCTTCTCAAAAACCCCAAAGCACTCTTATAGAAGTTAAAAATTGCCAAAAATTTCAAAAGTCAATAACATCAAGACTTTATTTCACTTTATACACTTCCATATGCATTCCATGAGATAAATACAACAAAAAAACTCATAGTAGGCTTTTTTGACATCATTAACACTTATCTTCACTTAAAAAGGAACTCTGAAATGTTCACATCTTTTGATTGGTCATCAACAGAATTACTTCGAATAAAAATCAGTCTGATTCTCCAAAATGCTCAAGTACGATCAATTTTTTAAACCGATGCAGGTGACTGACAGATAAGTTGATGTTCAGAGGATTTCTAAAATCAGCATTTCGTAAATAACCTTTATAATGATTTTTGTAAGCAAATATAACCTATCATGGGGTTATATCAAATGCTAAGTCTTTGTTTTTATAGCGAAGTCGACTACGGAATGTTCTGTCTAATTGATCAATACATGGGGCTCACGGCGGGGGGTTTCACCAGTCAAAGCTTCATCCTCTAAGGCACCTGTTCCCTCCTCTGGGATTTCCGGAGATATTAGTTTTTGCTATGACCCCATAGTTTTTATCATATCGGTCACTTTTGTTATCTGAACCCTTTTTGTTTAATTTTGAATGTATTCATTATATATATTACATTGCGCACAACTACATGTATAAAACTTTACAATCTCTACATGTATGTGAACTTTGTATATTTTCCACTAAAAGAGAAGTTGCACCAATATTCGAGGTTCCCACTTTAAATAAATCGGTGAAGTTTTCTTCCTCTTTGATAATTACAATAAAACTTTCAAATTAACTTTACTCTAATTTCCATTTGCAATTGTGGGAAAATTTCAAGCATTCAATTCAAAATAAACAATAATTTAAGAGGACACAGGCAAACACTCCTCATTATTGGGTATCAGGTCAAACACCATATATACACCATATATACTTTGACCATTCTATTTTGATGTCCTTTGTTCATTTTCAAAAAAATATATATTGATTTGAACTTCATTATGGAATCCGGATAGGGCCATGCAGTTCACTATCGCATCATCGCACCATCGAGGTTTGAGTCGATGGTGCGATGACGCGATAGTGCGATGACGATGAAGCGATGGTGCGAAAACGATGAAGCAATGACGCGATAGCGCGATGACGATGATGCGATGGTGCGATAATGCGATGACGATGATGCGATGGCGCGATGAAGCGATAATGCGATGACGCGATGGCACGATAGCGATGCTGCGATGGCGCGATAGTGATGATGCGATGCTATATCGTGTCTATCGCACCATCGCAGCATCGCTATCGTGCCATCGCAGCATCGCATTATCGCTTCATCGCGCCATCGCATCATCGTCATCGCATTATCGCACCATCGCATCATCGTCATCGCGCTATCGCGTCATTGCTTCATCGTTATCGCACCATCGCTTCATCGTCATCGCACTATCGCGTCATCGTACCATCGACTCAAATCTCGATGGTGCGATATATACATATATAGTGAACTGCGTGGCCCTATCAAAAAAATATATATTGATTTGAACTTCATTGTAAATTTCGTTATTACAAAATTTCCATCGAAAAGTATAATATATATTTTTTTTAATTTTTGAGTTATATAGATACTGGATTCACGTAAAAAACCACACGTCTTAAAAAGTCTATCATTTTTCTTCCTTATTCTTAATAAAAGTGTTTTTTTCAGTAACACTAAAAAAATGAAATTGCACTTAAAAATAGCACTTCAGTCTGTAAATCATCCTCACGTTACATTCAAGATTTTAAATTGTAGGACAGTCTAATATTATAGAAACAATATGAAAAACCTTAAGTCATAATAATGATTTGATAATTTCGGATATAATGAGTTAATAGAATCATGAGTTTCCAGGGACTTTCACGGTGCATAGATAAAGATAACATTACTTCCTCTCTATAACGTGTGTGAAATTAATGAACGTGATGAAATATATATTAACTTTGGATTTTGACTTTTGTGTGATTCTGTTTTTAGGATGATTATTTCCGGTACTTAAAACAAAGTCGAGAGATAAAGGTTTTCAGAGTCATCAAACATCATTCATACAGTGCTCGATCTTTCCACTAGAGCTCGAGACTAATGCAAATGCTCGGAATGGCCCACACCTTGCAGGGCAATGGGAACATTGGGCCTTTTCTCATGGCGTCTGGTTTACTTGGTGGCTTTTTTGCCCCAATTATCTTCTTTGGTGAATCGGAACATGAAGCCGAATCTATTGTAGGGTATATCTGTCTGTTTGTCCATTTGCTGTCTTCTGCTATGATTCTGTGCGCATGCGTTGCCATCCGCAGAAGTCGGAGTGTGTGGATCAAAGAAAAACGTCAATCGCCGGTGGTTACGACAAAGGTTGTTGTTTTATGGATTCTGGGAGTTTTCCAGTGTATTCTTCAAGTTATTTACGAGGACCTCAATAAGAAATGTGGGCATTCTGATATCTTAATGTCCAGAAACTTAGGGAAATACAGTTTTATTTTGTTCACATTCTTGCAGATGCTTTTTATTACCTTTTGCAGTCAATATACCTTTTTCAACTCCTGGAAAATAAAGTATATCATTTCAATGTTGACGATTTCAAATCTTGTCAAATGGTTGGAAGCCAATGTATTCAGTATTTTTGTCAAAACGACAGCGGATATTTCAGAGTACTATGCAGTGATACGGAATTGCTCATACATAAAAGAATACAACTTAGAGACCGTATTTCGGCTGACGGATATGCTATTAACACCTTTCTTAATGGAATACAGCATTCTGGCAGCTACCCTTATTCTCACCTTTTCGCTGACAAAGGAAACTGAATTTTCTGGACATTACTTTGATGGATTCTATGACCATCTGGAAATGGATCGAGATTCCGAAAACGTATCGCCTGTGTCCATTTCCAAGAAACATAAATTTATTACAGGTGCAGTGGCAGCCATTTTGAATGCACCCTTTCTTTACTACGGTGTTTTGTTCACAATTAACGAAAACATTCTAGTGAAGACAATTCATCCATGGGTACTTTCTATTATAGGGGCGAAGGTCATCGTATTTTTTCTTATTTTGAAGGCTTTTTATATTCTAAACCGAAATTTAGATATTGAAATAGAAAACCGTCGCATAAGTTTTAATGACATGACTCTGATATTGTGTTCATCATTTGTAAGTTTATCTGGTATCGTGACATTTATATTTTCTCATGATAAAAATCTCTTTATGACAACTTTTCACAGTTGGTTCAATGTCATTTACATCACCTATCAAACAATTTTCATTTTATTTGGAACTTCAGTGAAAATTCGTGAAGGGGGGCATAAAGTTCTGACCAAAGCCAAAATGATTTTAATTATTCTAATCAGCTACAATATTTTATACTGGATGAAAGATTCACTCTTTTTTCAAAGATCTATTGAAAATGATCAGAGAAGTAGTTTTATTAGAACTTTATTTTTTGTGCTGTATCCATTTAATTCCTTTTATAGATTTCAGTCCGCCATGGATATGATTCCGTTGTATTCCAAACTGTGTAATGCTCGTTGTAATAGCCTACGTGACATAGGAAAGACGCTTTAAAGCATGCATAATTTATGTATGTCGGAAATATTTTCTGCACTAATTAATATATTGTTTGTCCATTGAAAACATATTCCTCAAAAAATTGTTATTTTGCTTTCTGGTAGATTTACATATACACATGTACTAGTTTATGAGAATATTATTTTTTCAGGTATTATATATGTTGGTATTATATTTGTTATTTTTAACAATACTCATTTAAAATCCTTCTAATTTTTTTGGTTTTTAATCTATTCTCAATCATTACAATCGATAATAATTGAAAAAAAAACTCATAAATAAGGCTGCAGAGCATTGATTGATAAAAATGTGTTGAAGCACATTGTTACATTTTCTTAGACCCAATTTAAGCCATTACACTTAAGCCTCCCCCCCCCCTCCCCCCTCGGCGGACCATTGATTATCAATTTTTTTTTAATTTTACCCCGCTTGAAAATTGGGAGGGTTTATAGTGATCGGGAT